GAGGCCTTGAAATACGACGAAGTTAAGTGAAAAACATGTATCTGAAGTGGCCCGCATCTCAACCAACGATTTTCTTCACCAGGTGCTTTGTGTGATGATCAGCGCTCAACACAAACGAAAAGAGGAATGTTTTCTGGCCACAAATCTCAGCAAACTGACTCCACAACCCAGCAGCATCTTGCAGGTATCACTCTCTAACAACGCATTGAATAGCGACACTTTAAGAATCTATGGCCAGATTATTGTTGACATCATGACTATAGTACAGTTTTCGAAGAGACCAACTCTAATACCCCTAAATTGCTCAAAACTGTGCCGCGTGGTTAATTTTTCTTATTTAATAAGGCCTCGTTTTATCTAGGGCAAAATATAGCCTGAGAAAACAGCCGACGTTTCGCGACGCAGCCACCAAATGACGTCTGAGAAACAAGGGCAGACATTTCATACAGATGACGTCACTACCCTAGGTAGTGACACGTCATCATCAGTGTGGAATTTCTGCGCTCGTTTCTCAGACGCCATTTGATGGGAAACCAGTGGTGGCCTCGCGAAACGTAGGCTGTTTTCTTAGGCTAGGGAAAACTACAGACCGCCGATCAGCGTTTTCTTTTTTGCGTTTTTGATTGATGCAGTCTCTCATAAAAATGATGGAGAAAACAAAGGCCGATACTAGGGAGTGACTAATTGCGCGTGGGGTTCGCGTGCCGAGCGATCACAAGCCATTTCAACATGATGACAAATAGGCCGTTCCACGGTTTTTTAGGCTTGTTTAGGCAATCTAACACCATTTGAGTTCTTTGTTTTCGATTGAACCTTTTCCAGCCACATTTCACTCACCTTTCCATCCGTAAACTGGAATCTGTGTCGAGCAGGACAGAATCTTAGAAAAACTTACTTCCTTTTTCTAATAGCGCTTTGGATTCGTGTATTGGAATTCGGTCCATTAAGTTATTTCCGTGGTAACAATTTTTTCAGCTCAATTCCAATATCCTTAGTCTTGACCGACCTTTAATTCACCTGCACACACCAAGTTCTTGCAAATGAATACTTTAAGACTTAAAGTGGCTCCGTTATCAACGCAGGCGCATTGAACTACAAGGAACTTTCTGTCATATTGTTTTGGTTTTTAACGCGATGGCTACGAGACTTTGCAAATAACAAATATCATTCGGCAATAATATGAAGTATTCCGATTTTACTGATGGTAAATATGTTTTTTTTTTTTGGAAAATTAGCGCTTAAATTCATCCCAAAAAGAAAATCGTGTTTAGTAAAAATTTTTGCTGATATATATATATTTTTTACTGAAGTTTCAGGTATCAGATTTTATTGAGATGATAGATATCCTGGGAAAATTTCAGAGAAATCGTTGGAGGAGAAGTCTGGAGAGGTTCAAAATTCAGTTATGAAATTGTTTTGGAATTTTAAAAACGAATTTCTCGGAGGCGAAAAGAGCCACCGTTCGAATTTTCGACTCCAGAGCTCACGCTTTTGACTCCGCGCGTAAACCCTTGGAAACCAGAGTAGCTAAACAACCCTCACGGCCAATGCTCCTCCCTTACAAAACCAAATGCTTGCGTCAACGATAACCGCGCTGTGCTCCTTCTTTTTATAAAAGTGCAAGACAGGACGTTTATAGTTAATTTTCAAGTGTGGTGAACTTCTCCACGAAGTGGTAAGCGTAACCCAAATTTTTCAAGGGTAGATGTATGTAGTTATCAATTCAAATAAATTACAAATTTAGAATGTAGCGTTGCTTAAGACTTTCGTTTATTTGTTTATTTCTTGCACAATTTTCGACATGTAGTTAATTCTTATTTTTTATTTTCATGTATACTGTTACCACGAAATGCGATATCTTGAGAAAATAGTCCCAGTAATTTGCCATGCTTCTTACGTCTCACACGATTACGGCCCCGTGGATGGTGTATTTTATTAGAGATTAAGGAATTATCAGAGAATGCTGTTATTCTGCTTAGGTAGTTGCGCAGATGCGGCATATTAGATTTGCTAAAACCGAAAATCGGCTGGGCTTGTTGATTTTAACTTTTCCAGTCCTTTGCTCAGGCTCGCGCTCGCATGCTCAACACGCCGCAAATTCACCTCTCGGGTGACCTTGAATGGACTAATCAAAAATGCTTTCATTGTTTTAACTCAACACAATTAGAGAAAATCTTGTCTAGGGTTCCCAATTACTCTTCTCTTCCTGGCGGTTATGTGTAGAAGAGCTCTGGGGCAGAGATTGAGGGCCACTGTGGAAAGACTGACATGCGTCTAAAAGGTTGCGTGCGGTGCTCGCGAGAACTCACGCGTATCATGCCCTAAGCGGCAGCCTTTGACAAAGCGAAAGAAACGGATTATTTTGCAGTCTAGGAAGAAAATAATGCACTAACAAGTAACCACACGCCCGTTTAACTTGACCACTAAGTCCAAAATGCAAAATAAAAAAAAGCAAAGACAAAGTAGCTATTTGGTGAAAGAAGTTACCCCCGCATTCATGCCTCTTTTAGGTGACTGAGAATCTTTGCAAGTGTTCATTCAGATTCGTCTATAACTAATTCGTTGTACACATGTTACAAAAGCATACCGTATCGTATACTGTATGAAGTGGAACCTTGACATAACGAAGGGCTAAGCTAGGGATCTTAAGGGGCCGGCGAAATATGTTCGCCTACTACTGGAGCCAGGCAAAGAATATCGTACCTTATACTGAGCTAGGACTTCTTTATGTGTAGACGATTTTTTATATCGTGATTATACCATACCATACTAGATTTGTGCCCCTGTTTAAAAAAAAGCCAAATCGATCTTATCTGTACTATATTGTCTTCGTAGGGTTGCCCGCTTACATCACAGAAAGGATTCGTCGGCTTTACCAAGTCCGTGAAGGGCAGCTTAAACCATTCACTTGGTGTGATTATCCTAATTTCAACCTCAATGATATTTTTACGCGATTGCAAATCCGGAACAGAGAAAAAAGACGAGGAATACTGACCGACGATGAAATCACCAACATGACCGCCATCTTTAGGCCGCATCCGAAGTGTCAGAAGCCACGGATTGTTTTGATAGAAGGGGATCCTGGCATGGGAAAAACCACGTACTCACAAAAACTGGCGTACGACTGGGCAAACAAACAAGATGAATGGGACGCGTCTTTTCCAGAGATTGAAGTGCTGCTCTTGCTTCGATGCAACGATATTAAAACTAGCATTGAGGAAGCTATTAATGATCAAATTCTTCCTTGTGATATCGACAAAGAGGCTAAGGAGACTTTCTTTAAATACATCAAGGAAAACGAGTCGAAAGTTCTGCTTCTACTTGATGGCTTAGATGAAGCAGACTCCTGTAAACAAGAGATGTTCCTATCACTTGTCCAGAGTAAACTCTTCCCAGCTTGCCACATTGTCATTACTTCGCGTCATGAGGACGGAAAGGAAATAAGGCCATACTGTGACACACTGTGGGAGATTGTAGGATTTACTAAAGAGGATTCCAAAAGCTTTATCAGAAAATATNCCCAGCTTGCCACATTGTCATTACTTCGCGTCATGAGGACGGAAAGGAAATAAGGCCATACTGTGACACACTGTGGGAGATTGTAGGATTTACTAAAGAGGATTCCAAAAGCTTTATCAGAAAATATTTTCAAGGCAAGGATCACTTAGCTCAGAAGTTGATTCAAGATCATTTTAATGATTGGTTTGACAACCCATCTCATGAATACAGCCTCGCCGATTTGACGAAAAATCCGCTTAACATGACTTTAATCTGTTGTCTTTTCGAAGATTCCGAAGCCGTTTTTCATTTAAGTAGAACCCTATTATACATTGAAATCGTCCTCCTTGTTTTAAGAAGATATGAAAAAAAGAATGGACTTGCAAGCAATGAAGACTTGATTTTAGTTTACGAGAAAGAACTTTTGCTTCTGGGCAGCTTCGCGTTCAATTCCGTCCGCGAGGGGAAGTTCTACTTTGAAATACAGAGAGATATGGTCAAGTCTATCAATAATCTTGAATTCTTGTCTTTGCAACAAGGCGGCACTACGAGCAAACCTTGCACGCGCTGTGCATTTTCACACAAAAGCTTTCAGGAGTTTTTTGCTGGTTTTTATCTTGCGTTTCAGATTATCCATGGACAAATTGTTTTTACCGACGTTTTAACCGATGAAAGATATTTCAAAGAACTAAGATTGGTGTTTTTGTTCATGTGTGGAATCATGGCTTCAAAAAACGAGGAAACTGGAAATTCCCTCCTTATTGGTATGGCTGAGCACATCAGTGGTCTTCTCCGTACATCTGATCAAAAAGTGAAATCATATATGGCGTTGGCTTGTGATAGTTTATTTGAACACTATTTAAGCCTTGAAAAAAAGCATTGGAATGAAGAGAAACGGCTAACTTGCTCAGAGAATACTTTCGGTATGCACCTTGATATGTCTTCCTTGACTAAAGTGGATTTGTCTTACACTGACATAAAGGATGCTGGTGCTGCTGCGATTTCCGTGGTCCTTGAAAGCAACTCCTCCCTAACTTATTTGGATTTGAGTTCCAACAAGATTTATTCCGACGGAGCTTTTTGTCTTTCCAAGGGCCTCACAAAAAACTCCATCCTGACTCATTTGGATTTGAGTGGCAACCGAATTGGTGACAATGGTGTTTCTTCTCTTTCCACGGCCTTCAATAAAAACTCCTCCGCCCTGATTTCCTTGAAATTGAGTGGTAACATGATTAAAGAGGCTGGTGCTTCTTCTCTTTCCACGGCCCTCACAGCAAACTCCATCCTGACTCATTTGGATTTGAGTAACAACTTGATTCATGACGATGGCGCTTCTTCTCTCTCCACTGACCTCACAGCAAACTCCATCCTGACTCATCTGGATTTGAGTAACAACATGATTGGTGAAAATGGTGCTTCCTCTCTTTCCACGGCCCTCACAGCAAACTCCAGCCTGACTCATTTGGATTTGAGTAACAACTATATTCTTGACGATGGCGCTTCTTCTCTTTCCACGGCCCTCACAGCAAACTCCATCCTGACGCGTTTGTATTTGTGTAGAACCTCTATTCATGACGTTGGCGTTTCTTCTCTTTCCAAGGCCCTCACAGCAAACTCCAGCCTGACTCATTTGGATTTGAGTAACAACTTTATTCATGACGATGGCGCTTCTTCTCTTTCCACGGCCCTCAATAAAAACTCCTCCGCCCTGATTTTCTTGAAATTGGGCAAACAATATTAGTAACGCTGGTGCTTCTTCTCTCTTCAAGGTGCTTCAAGCAAACCTTTTCCTGAAAATTTGGATTTGAGTTACAACAGGATTGGTAACACTGGTGCTTCTTCTCTTTTCGAGGCGCTCCCAGCAAACTTTTCCCTGACCAATTTTGATTTGAGGGGTAACAGTATCGGTAAAACTGGTGCAGCCTCTTTAAAAGACGTCACTGAGAAAAACAATACAGTGAATGTACGCTTATAAATATAGTTTGTCAGAGATTAGGGTTGTAATATTGACAGTCCCGAAGGTTATCATGAACGTTAAAAGGCAACCGAAGCGGCTGGTAGTTACTTGTTCAGATACCTTGTTCTTAAATTGCCTCGACAAGAGTTTTTGTCTGCTTGGGCTACGGGTTTTATTTGAGTTTTCGTCGAGGACATTTGAGGGCAGCCTTAGTTTTCTTTGCTTCAAATGAAAAAAATAGTGTTTCTAAACTATGAAGGAAAGTTTTGACCCGGTTTTTGTATAGTGTCTTGCGTAGATCTAGGTATCAACAAGTAAAGCCTGTCTATCGCTATTGAAATACAGATTAAAATTCTTGTCATGTATTTTTATAGTCTCCCTCGCAGCCGTTTTTTGGATGTCACGCAACGCTCCGCAGGGGGAGTGTTGCGTGACATCCAAAAAACGGCTGCGAGGGAGACTAGTGTTTTTATTTTTTCATTTATTTTCTCTAACCTCTGTGATTATCCTTTCCATTGCCCCAGTGCCCAACAAAACCACAAGTTATGCAGGCTATAATCGCCGACAAAATGAGTTGAGACACTTCCCCCTAAAGGAGGGTTGTCATATACTCACAAATAGACTCCATTGGTGCTAGTGGTGATAAGAAGGGTCTCCATTAGTACCAATGGTACGATTGGTACCAATTGAAAAGCAACCTAGTCCAATGGTTCTATTGGTGAATATGCATCTCATTAAGGGGACCCAGCTAGACCACATGAGAAAATAATCTAAGTCCCCTTAATGAGATGCATATTCACCAATAGAACCATTGGAATAGGGTGCTTTTCCATTGGTACCAATGGACCATTGGAATTGCCCTGTACCCAGCTANGGAGTGTTGCGTGACATCCAAAAAACGGCTGCGAGGGAGACTAGTGTTTTTATTTTTTCATTTATTTTCTCTAACCTCTGTGATTATCCTTTCCATTGCCCCAGTGCCCAACAAAACCACAAGTTATGCAGGCTATAATCGCCGACAAAATGAGTTGAGACACTTCCCCCTAAAGGAGGGTTGTCATATACTCACAAATAGACTCCATTGGTGCTAGTGGTGATAAGAAGGGTCTCCATTAGTACCAATGGTACGATTGGTACCAATTGAAAAGCAACCTAGTCCAATGGTTCTATTGGTGAATATGCATCTCATTAAGGGGACCCAGCTAGACCACATGAGAAAATAATCTAAGTCCCCTTAATGAGATGCATATTCACCAATAGAACCATTGGAATAGGGTGCTTTTCCATTGGTACCAATGGACCATTGGAATTGCCCTGTACCCAGCTAGACCACATGAGAAAATAATCTAAGTCCCCTTAATGAGATGCATATTCACCGATAGAACCACTGGAATAGGGTGCTTTTCCATTGGAATGGCCCTGTACCCAGGGAATGACATCCTTTCCTATTGGTACCAATCCTACCATTGTAGCCTGTGAACAGGCCTTTGGTCTACAGGCTACTACCATTGGTACCAATGGATTATCGGTTTGACGAATCGTATCCGTTTGTGTATATTGGACATGTGTGCCCTAAAGGGGCTTTCTAACATTTTTCTAACGTGCAAAGGGAAAAATATAGCTTTTCCTTCCTCCATTCCCTCCACGCAATGTTGTGCCGCTGCTAGAGCTACCTGTGGAAAAGAACAAACACCCCAATGAAATGGAGGGGACAGGGGAGGGGTTTGGATTCTTTTGTTCTCTTGAGTTACCCTATTTGAGTACAATGTCTCAACAATTTTGTTAGCGATTGTAGGTTACTACATCCGCGTGACGGAACTGTTTTCGATTTTTACATGAGGCGAAGCTGTGAGCAGCGACTTGTGCTGGCGCCAGTACTCACGGCTTCGCCGCTCGCATACTCCTACATCATCTCGCAATCGCTCACAGATTTTCGAGCAAAAGAGAGGCTGCTCGCAGTCTATGAACGTTGTGGTTTTGTTGCCTCCAAGAGAGGCACGAATTACCGTGAGTACATATAAACAAGTTGACGTCAAATTACCCAGGGGCAAACTTCTCCACAATCAGCCGCCCTTGGGATACCCTGGGTCAGAGGTTTGTTCTCGCGTGCGACGAGGAGGTTCAACAGCCGCAGACACATCTTCGGGCGAAGGCCGGAAACAAGAGGGGGGAAGCCGCGAGAAAAAACGCTTTTCTCGCGGATCACTTAAAAAGACTTAACAGAAACCGGAAACCGCGCATGAAAAGCCTCTGGCACCCAGGGTACCCTTGGGACAGAAGTAAGAGGCTGTTGAGGAGACTAAGGTGACGGTTCTGAGTCAGTGGGTGTAACATATGACTCCTATTTTAGAGGGACCGAAATGAAAAACATTTTTCCTATTGAAAATACTGATTACAGCATATCAGCACGCAGCACAATCAAAATACATCAATAAATCGTTTTCACTCACGTTGTCGGCAGCTATACAATTTATTGGAACAAAATAACGTTTTTACTAGCTTGCGTGGTAGGCGTTCG